CCTTGTACTCATTGGTCCCAATGCTATAACCAAGTGCAATAAAACCGCAGCGACGCCTACCGTTATTATTAGGTGGAATTGTGATGCACTCACCCAACATAGGGTGCACATACAGGCCATCAGTTTCCGGTCCATACAAATAAAGTAAACCATTACACGAGTTTATCAACACGAACTGAAAATTGGGCAGATTATTTTTGGCAGTGAAAGGCGTTTTTTCAACGCCAAAATCAGAACCAGCAGCACCTTCTACTATCTGGGCGAAATCAAGTTCTATCACTGTCGAATAAGAATGCAAAACGTCCATCAAGATCCCAATGGGTGATCTCCGAAGATGGAGACGAGCAAATCGAGGGTCAGAAATTATAGAAAGCCACTCTTTGCAAACGCACTTGCAGTTCAAGACGGTCCTGACGCACAATATCCTTGAGAGAATATCCACCACCAAAACCTTCGGAAGATAGTGGAATTTGCAAGGATCATTGGATTTCCATTCTTCTTTTTCTTTCTCTTTTTTTTTTTTTTTTTGCTGCTCGTCACTTCTTTGTTTGTATCTCGTTTCTCCATATTCTTAGGGTTTCCTTGATTTCCTCTCGGCGTCATTGTGCCTGTAAATTTTATGCTCCAGAGAGAAGGGGAAATAAATAGATTAAAACCGAAGGGGATTCTGTTGCGTATTCACAAAAGAAAACACGGTAGTTGGTGAGTTTAGGGTTTATATATCAACTCACAATAAAATAAAAATTAGACTTTCTTTTTTTTTATTCGAAATTACAAATCACACATTTTTTAGATCGATACCGAGAGTGGTTAAACGATTTTTTTTCGGAAAAAAAACTAAATAATTTTTTTTGTTGTTGTCAAATGAGTTAAATAGTTAGTTGCTTCGGGAAAGAATAATAGTTAGTTAAATAGTTAATAACGGACAAATGAGTTAATTTTTGTTGTTGTCAAAGGTAATTTGTTTTTGTTGTTGTTGTTGTCAAATTGTCCGTTACCGATTTGTCTTCTCCTTCCTTTCTTTTTTTTTTCTTTTTTTCTTTTTTTTTTTTTTTTGTTGTTGTTGTTGCAGCGATTGCTTCAGTTTCTGAGAAAGTTATTCAAACAGCTGGAGAAGGGACTGGAATAGAAAAGCAAAAGAAGGAACATGAGCATACGCAGAGAGAAGGAAACAGAAAAATACCTTCCTCCAGCAACAAAGTCGAGCATACAATTGGAAGGTGGTGGTGTGTACACCTGAGCCGTAGCTCTACACACCTTCCTATAAAGCCTCAAAATGCGGGTGGAGACATGGTTACAGATCCAAGATTTGTGAGAACAATGGAGGATGGAAGCAGACTTAGAAAATGGATGGATTAGAGTCCTGGAGGTCGAAAAAGTGGAGGGAGAAGAAGAAAAATGAAGGTTGGAATTGGGACTTTTCAATCGAGGCCAATGAATAGTTAGATAGGAGGCAATAGGGGATCGATTACATAGAAAAACGGGTCAGAAAACATGGAGAAAACCAGGCATACAGAGGTGGGAAGAAAGGCAAAAGAAGACGAAAAAGGGATACCACCGACTCTGACCACTGCTAGGGCCGGCGACTGAGCAAGCCGACGGAATTGGGAGCACTCACACACCAGTGAAAAAGCCTCTCACTCAGAGAGAAGGTCTCTCACGCAGAGAAAAAAAATGTCTGTTTGGAAGGTTTTGGGTCGCAAGAAATCTCTAATGGTTGCTTTATTTTTCTCATGTCTTGCTTCCAAACCATATGGCCAATCATGTCTTGTTTCCCTTGCTCAAAACATACAATATCTCAAATTAATAAAGCATCTACAAATTTCTCCATTGCCAATAGCATAGCCCAGTGGCAGAGAATAAAGTTTGCTAACCTTAAAAATATGGTCGGCTTGGTCCTCGAAGTGTACAAAATTTTATCATTGCCTCATTGGCTAAATTAGGATGAAAACTTAACGCAAAATTGAGTATAATTAAGTCTAGAATTCCTACAGTCGACTCTACTTAGTGGAATAAGGCTTTATTATTATTGTAAATAACTAGGAGTACAATGAGTTATTAGGAAATATCTCCATAATAAAAATATCCTAAAAGTAAATGCTAAGAGCATTTCCAAAGAAGATGTCAAAATGTCCAAATCAGTAATAACAGTAAAAAAAACAGCTTCAATGTTTTCCAACCGAAAAACCAAAGTTGATGTGGCATGACATAAAATAGCAACTCTCCCTTGCTGTCAAATTTGACAGCAGGGTCCAAATAGTTTTTTATTAATTATTTTTATTAGATTTGCAACTCTCCTCTCTCACTCAAACCTGAGAAGTGCCTGGTACATATCAACTCCCAAAGCCGCTCATCCTCCGCCGTTTTGTGCCACTGCTTGCTCACGCAAGACGCCATCCCAATCGTCCGCGCGTCCATGTGCTTGAATACCTCGAAGATCATATTGTCGTCCAAATTCGAAAACCCTGCCCCTTTCAGCTCATCCTAGTCAACGCAGTCAACCACCATCTCCTCCTCCTCTTCCTCCACCTTAATCCTCTTCATCTTCACATCCGCCGAACTCGCTGTTGCCATCAAATCGTCCTCCGATGATGCTCTCTTCATCGAACGATTACAACCCGCCAGTCCGAATCTTCCTATCGATCGCTAACAATTAGAGGTTTTAAAGTAATATTGGGAAGATTTAGTGGGTAATCGGAAAACCCAGAACCCAAATTGTACGAGCTGTGGGGGTGTGTGAAAAGAAGGCAGGCAGATTCTTTGCCCTTCCACTTCCCATGCCCTCCTGTTTATGTGGTCACGATTAAGCCACGTCAACATTTTATATTACTGTTCCTTTTTGTCTTATTATCTTTATAAAAAAATAATATAAAACGTTGACGTGACTTAACTGTGACCACACAAAACAGGAGGGCACGGGAAGTGGGAAGGCAGAGAATTTGCCTCCGAAAAGAAGGGGGTGGGAAATGCCAGTCTGAATCTCCCACTTTTGTTTACTCTACTTTTTCTTATCTTTTACCCGCCTAATCTCTTTTTAATAAAATAAAAAGAAAAGAAAATAATGTAATAAAATATTATTTAATTTGGAGAGCAAAATCTTAAAAAATGTCAAAATACCACATAGGCTGTCAAATTCAAATTTTATGTTTAAAATTTGATATCACCTTTGGGGATGCTCAAAGTCTACAAATTTTATGGTCTGGAAAGGTATATCCTAAAATAAAAAGGAAAACTAATGAAAAGGGCTTGAAAACTTTGAGTTTTAATGATAAGGACAAAATAAAGGGTAAAATGAATAGTACCATGATTGACTTTTTAGTGTAAAAATGTGGTTTTTCGTTAAAGTGAACAGTACCAGGAGCTTTTCATTAAAGTTCCCAAAATAAAATGTCGTATTCAAGAGGAAGTCGCAAGCGCAGTAACTGCAATTCAACATCGTTAATGGAATGCACAATTTTCCTAGAGAATTAAGTACTAGTTTGGTACTGATGTGATTTTATAAAAAATGGGTATAAAAAAAAGCTGAGCTCAAAAAGGTGTTTGGTAAACACTTTAGTTTCACAGTTTGGGTTAGAAAAAATGAAAACGTGAAGTAGCAAAAATGAGCTTATTCTCACAGCATAGCAGAAATAAAATTTTTTTTTTCAAAGTACACCAATAACAAACCAGCCATAAGTCTACTGTTGAAGACATCATTCACCTCAAGAGTAATTTTTAGCAAGTTTCATTCAATTCAAACATTTTCTGGGAAGACGGCAGATCTAGTGGCTGATCTTGGACATTAATATAATCATAACTACATACTACACCAAGAAATGTAGCAGAGCTAATAACTATGAAGGTGATGGCTTTTAAGGGTCTTCGCTTGAAGTTTTCAGTTGAGTTGAGTGTCATTTTTCACTGATTCTCCCGCTACTTTTATAGTCCTTGTCGTAGATTACCCCTTCTTTTTATAGCTTGAGCCCTTTCTCTGTCAAGTGGTTGATGTGACTATACTCAGCAAGGGGTGAGTTCACACCTGATCCTTCCTTATTTACGAGTTTTTACCATGGATCAAATAAATTATAATTTTTTTACAGAAATTAGATGAAAATGTCTTTAATTAGATAACGAAGATAAACACATGGATCAAATTGGCCAAATTGAAAGTACAAGGACTAAATTGACCCAATGAATAAAACATGAACCATTTTAACATTTAAACCTTTAAATTACGAGGGTTTTTATAGTTATGCGAGATTTTGATTACTAAATTTATTTTCCAAACCTGAAAATTTGTTTGATAACTACTTTTAGTTTCACTTTTTAAAAATATAACTTCTTCGAGTTTTCAAAATTTAGCTTCAACTTTCATATTTTTGTTCTCACTATAAATAAAAACTAAAAGTGGTTATCAAATAAGTTTTCCGATGTCTAGACAAAAAAAAACATATTGTCAATGTCACAAAAGTGATGACTTGCAATTTCTTCGTGTATGGTCAAAATTTATGAAAAACCAATCAACAGGGCTTCAAAAAAGTTATTAAATGAATATCAGTTCTTGTCAAAGAAATAAGGTATAGCTACCAATTAGTTGTGCAAATATCAAACGTTTCACAAAACATGTTATCACTTGCAGTCTGGTCTCGACGGAGGCAGGGCAGCTGCAGTCTTTGACGAGGGCAAAAGGAAAGAACTGCTTTAGAATCACGATAGCCTGGTGGCGACAGTATTTGTTGACACATTCGGAATCCACCCTCCCCGAAAACATAACCCTTCACGCTGAAAGCTTGTTCACACATCGCGCATTCAATCATAACAATAGTGAATTAGCTGAAAAGAAAACATATTGTTCAGCCGCAAGGAGACAGCAGCAAAACAATTGGATGGATTCAAAAGAAAAAATGACAGATGTACTATGGCAACTCACATAGGAATTTCGAATAAACCAATCAGCAAAAGCATGCTGTTCCAACTCAAATCCTGTGGACTGCCATTTACCGATGTGATTCTTATATTTCTTCTTGTCTCTTACCCTGCAAAAAATATAAAGTATAGGGTAAATTAGTATGAAGGAACCTAAGAGCACTTGCTTTGTTGACGAAGTTCTAATAATGAGCATTAATTCTTGAATCAGTCAAACTTCAAAAAGTGTTTTGAGTACTACTATAGCAACGAGAAGCAATTCAATCGACGAAGGTCAAACGCTCTGTCATGTTCTGCTGTTCAGCAAACACATACAAATGCAAAAACTGATAAGCAGAAGTCATATTTAGAAAAAGAAATCTGTTAACACATCGCTGAAGTAACAAAACCGAGTCGGACAAACTTTCACATGTAGTATCTGTGGAGATAGACAGATATAAATGTAAGTTGACAAATGCAATATATCAATAGTATTCTCCTACAAAAACATCAGCTTCCATAAATAAAAAAGGGAATATAAAAACAATAGAAGAGAAGCATATCTTAAGTGTAATTTAAGTACCTTTCAGCTTCTCCTTTTGCAACATCGTACAGTGAAACAAAGGATGGACTGTAAGCAATTGCATGAAAAAAAAATTGGGTGCGATTAGTAACTATAGTTCGCCTGAAAGTTTTTGCTTCTAGATTGTAACAACCAACAAGCCGGCTGCCACTACAGTTGTTTTGCTCTTCCACGTATGCTATTAGGATTTCTCCATTACTCAAAAACATAATTGGCATGTACCCGAAACATCTTGGGGACAAGTTCTCAATGACAAGAATTTGAGTCCATGACTGTTGGACCCCATATTCCTTCATAACCCAGAACTCTAATTGGGTAGACGGTTTACCATGCACACATAGAAGGAGACAACCTCCTAACTGTCCCAACTGTAAATAATCTGAATACCACTCATGCATTGCTTCCACGAGCCCAGGTGAGAGTGTAGGTGCGGGTAGTGATCGAAATTGTTCGCTTTCAAAATTGAAAGCATATATAGAAAACTCTGACAAGTCATACGGAGCCCAATGTTGAGCTCCGTGCAGAAAAGCGTCAAACGGTAACTGAATTGCTTCGTCTCTATTTCTCTTAAGTATAGTTTGAGGAACACTTCCAATGCTTCTCCAAACTCCTGTGCCAAGGGTGTATATCTCAGCCTCACGCTCACCATAGAATTCGTTGTTAGATGAGGTTGTTTGCAAGACCTTGTACTCATTGGTCCCAATGTTATAACCAAGTGCGATAAAACCGCAGCGACGCCTACCATTATTGTTAGGTGGAATTGAGATCCACTCACCCAACACAGGGTTGCACACATACATACCATCAGTTTCCGGTCCATACAAACAAAGTAAACCATCACAAGAGTTTATAAACTCGAACTCGAAATTGGGCAGGCTATTTTTGGCAGTGAAAATCATTTTTTCAACCCCAAAATCAGAACCAGCAGCAGTCTCTACTATCTGGGCCAAATAAAGTTTTTTCACTGACGAATAAGATCGCCAAACCTTCATCAAGATCCCAATGGGTGATCTCGGAAGATGGAGACGAGCAAATTGAGGGTCAGAAATAATAGAAAGCCACTCTTTGCAAACGCACTTGCAGTTCAAGACGGTCTTGAAGCAGACTATCCTTGAGAGAATGGCCACCACCAAACCCCGCGGAAGATATTGAAATTTGCTGCTCATCACTGCTCTGTTTGCAATCGGATTGTGCCATTCGAGTTCCAGAAAGAAAGGAAATAAACAAATCAAAGATTCAAATTTGAAGGGGCTTTCTCTGCTGCACAATAGTAAGTACACAAAAGAATACACGATGATTGGTTTCTTAATCGTTTGGTTTATGGTTTATGATCTACATCTCAAATCACAATAATAAATAGATATCGAATCACACTATCTAGCCCAAAATTTCAAGCAAATTCGGAACTGAAATTTCGAACAAGCCTTGAATTACAATTCTAACAACGCCTAAACTGTGAAATTTCGCAAATAGATGCGTTCCATAAATAAACAATTAAAAGAGAAAAGCGTAGTAATTTTATGAATCGAAAAGACGAGCTCACCGGCGATTTCGATATGGTTTTTATAGCCTTCTGGTTTTAGAGAGAGACAGAGACAGAGAGGAAAGAGAAAAGACGTACCGAAACACGCAGGTGCCGTCGTGAGTCGGGGAAACCGGCTCAGGAGAAGGGAGGGTCTTGAGTGACTTCTGGAACTCAAATCCTAAATGCAGTTATAATTTGGCTTATTATGCAAAATTGCATAATCAATAGAAATGGTTAATGAGCAATGGTTTTGAGATGATCCACCATTTATGATTTTAGTTAAAAATTCTTTGGGTAATTTTTAAAGTTTCGTAACTCAATCAATTTTTAACCAAATTCGACCTATAATATATCAAAATGAATATATGAAAGTGTAGAACAAGATTATATCTATTTGGAAGCCAATGATTGCCAAAAATAGCCGAAAAATAGTCTGAAAGGTGACTGGTCCATTGGAAAACTGAAAAACTCGTCAGAAATTGAGTAAACTTTAAACGTTCATAACTTCTTCAATACTCAACGAAATCAAGTGATTCAAAAATGAAAATCATATTTCTCGATGAGACGAAGAGAATGGCATCTTTCTTGACTGCTAACTCACCGTGGTTTGGGCGGAAAACTGCTCGAAAGTGGCTAACTCGAAAATGGTTAGCCACTTTCAAGCCGTTGTCTGACCAAACCACGGTGAGTTAGCCTTCGGAAAGGGTACCATTCTCTTCGGCTCAAAAGTGGCTAACCATTTTCAAGTTAGCCACTTTCGAGCAGTTTTCCGCCCAAACCACGGTGAGTTAGCAGTCAAGAAAGATGTCATTCTCTTCGTCTCGTCAAGAAGTATGATTTTCATTTTTGAATCACTTGATTTCGTTGAGTATTGAAGAAGTTATGAACGTTTAAAGTTTATCCAGTTTCCGGCGAGTTTTCCAGTTTTCCCGCGGACCAGTCACCTCTTAGGCTATTTTCCACCACCGTCAACTATTGGGCTTCTAAATAGGTATAATTTTATTCTATACTTTCCTATCTTCATTTTAATATATTATGGGTCGAATTTGGTTAAGAAACGATTGAATTACAAAGCTTTGAAAATTGCCCAAAGGATTTTTAACGGAATAACCAAAATCATGGATGGTGGACAATCTCAGGGACCATTTCTATTGATTTTCAATCTCCAGGACCATTTTTATTGATCATGCAAATCTTAGGAACTATTTTGTATAATAACCCTTACAATTTTAACCATCTTGCGAATCTAAACTAATATTAATAGAATTTATTGTATGAACCAAAAACTAATAAATTTACAATTATAATCTTTAATATATAACTATAAAAAAAGTGAGAAAAGAAAAAAAAAAAGGAGAATTCGAAGGAGATGCCACGATGTTTCTCTCAGCCACTAACATGCTTGCTGATGATGATACGTTCTCAATGGGGCATATAATTAATGTCACAAGACATTTTCTCTGTTTAATCCCTAAACAAGAGTTCTCCTTACCAGAAAAGGGGCCAATACAGTGGCTCATCCATTGGCACGTTTGGGACTTTCAAGTCAGCAATGAAAAGTGTGGTCTGCAGAACTCGTGACATCATTGGAGATCCTCTTATGGAAAATAGTTTATCTATGTAACTAAGTGCAAGACGCTCTTTTTTCCTTCAATCGGGTTGAAATCCGGACAAGATTTTTATTGATGCCCGTTATTTTGCACCGTATCCTCCATGTACTGTACAAATTTCTAGTTCCTTTACAAATGAATATTGTACTTTGAACTAAAAAAATCAGCATTAAAATAATTTCGAACAACAACTTTTCGCTTTTTTTTTTCTAAACCTCACAGTCATGTAGCTCTATCACTACTTTCTAAACTCATTCTCCCCCATAACTACCAACACTTTTTTTATGCCTGCATAACTACTATTGAAAAAAAATTAAAAATTGTTATAGTCATATTAGATTAGAAATTTGATTGTGTAAATATTAATGTATCTAAGGATATATTTGAATATTCCCTTTAGTAGTTAATATCCTATTAGAGTTGTAATCCTATAAGGGTAAAGATTTAATATATCATACTATTATAAATAAAGGCACAATGTTTTGATACAACATACACTTCAAAATTACATCTCCCTCTTCTCTCTTGCCGTCGGCCCTCTTCTTTCCTAGTCCTAAATACAGTTCAATAAATACTACAACAAAAACAATATTGTGTGATCTTTGCTAGTAATTAAATAAATAAATATGCATTTGATTTTTTATTATACGGAATTTTTTTGTCAAATGTCATTTCAGCTTTCATTGATATTTTTTTCCTCCTCAACCCTGCCAACTTGTAAGACCATCTACAGTAAAGAGGGCTAAGGATAAAAAGTTAAAAAATAGTCTGATTTGGACAATTCCAACTCCAACAAAAAACTAGACTAAAATATAATGGAGCCCACTGGACTAAAACATGACCAAAGGGGCATCCTTCTCTCTACTAATTATTCCAGCTAGAGTAATATAAATGTGAAAATTCATGTTTCGGAAATGTTTATCTCTACTAATTAATAAAACACTCATTATCAATCAAAATTTTATGAAATTATCAGTTTAATCCTCTAATTAAAACAGAACATGAATAAGAAATATGGGGTAGAAATGTAATTTCACACAACTAAGTTTTGTTGTTTTTTTCAAAATCTCACCTACATGTAATCCTAATATATCTCTAATTAAAAAATAAAATAAAATAAAAATTTCTCACTCCCACATTCTCTATCACTCTCTTCCTCTCTCCTTCTATTTAAAAAACAAAAATAAAAAAATTTCTCACACAAGTTGTGTGTGCCCATACGCTAGTAAGTCCATTATAAAAATTGGGTCTCTAATTATAATCATTAGAAATTAACAATTAATCTTCTTTTTATCATTACTGATAAATTGTTGAAATGCTTGTGAAAAAATCTTTTTAAATAGTCTTCTAGTGAAAGAAGTTGTTTTCACGTGCACTTAACCAAATAAATTATTGAAGGGTTATGTTTAGTTTTTTCGGTTAGAGACGGTATATGAATATAGTCTAATACTATTCAATAAAAATAATTTCTTGAAGGGTTATAATTCTTGATGGAGCTATATTTAGCCATTTCAATTGGAAATGGCTTAAGGTCCCGATCCTTTTAGCTTTCAGCTACTCTTTAGCCAAATATGCAGCTACTCTTTAGCTTTCAGCTATTGTGAAAAATTGCGATAATATCATCTAAATTAGAAAATGAAGTCACTTAGTACGACAGTTTGGTGGTATTCCTCTTCATTAGTAAGTGAGAAGTCTTGTAACATCTCACATCGCCTAGGGGAGTGATCCTTAAATGTATATTTTCATCCTTACCTAGCACGAGGCCTTTTGGGAGCTCACTGATCTCGGGTTCCGTCGGAGCTCCGAAGTTAAGAGAGAAAGAGGCCAAAGTACTCCCAGGATGGGTGACCCACTGGGAGGTTACTCGTGAGTTCCAAAAACAAAACCGTGAGGGAATGGTAAGCCCAAAGCGGACAATATCGTGCTACGGTGGTGGAGCGGGCCCGGAAAATGGTCCGACCCGGGCGGGGATGTGACAATTGGTATCAGAGCCTAACCTTGGCCGTGGTGTGCCGACGAGGACGTCGGGCCCCTAAGGAGGGTAGATTGTAACATCCCACATCGCCCAGTGGAGTGATCCTTAAATGTATATTCTCATCCCTACCTAGCACGAGGCCTTTTGGGAGATCACTGGCTTCGGGTTCCATCGGAACTCCGAAGTTAAGCAAAAAGAAGGCCAGAGTACTCCCAGGATGAGTGACCCACTGGGAGGTTGGTCGTGAGTTCCCAAAAACAAAACCGTGAGGGAATGGTAAGCCCAAAGCGGACAATATCGTGCTACGGTGGTGGAGCGGGCCTGGGAAGTGGTCCAACCCGGGCCGAGATGTGACAAGTCTTATATTCGAATCTCGTGAATGGCGAATTTGATACCAAATTAGATTGTTCATTGTGTGGCTTAGCCGAACTCCCCCTCTACTTAATGTAAAATATATCGTTGCACTAAAAAAAAAATTAGAAAATGAAAAATTGAGAGAGTAAAGAAAAGGTTGCAATGGTTACACAAACTAACCCTGAGCATGCCCATACGGGCGATAGTTGCATGGGGAGGGAGGTTTCTGACCCCGATTAATATGAAGGTCTTAATTACTAAGACAGTCAAACGCTTGCAAGCATTTCTCATTTTAGTTAAGTTACGGTAATTACCCACTAATGTGAAGACAACTAACCGAAAATTAAAAACATAAGACAGAAAAATACCATCCTAATTGGTCTCTCCTCTCAAATAAGCTCCAAATTCCAAATTGATAAATGGTATGTACTCACGTGTGGCATGCAATTCTATTATGATTTCGTCATTTATGGTTTATGGATTTTATGTTGGTTTTGCTTTATCAAGTTGTCAAATATTTTAAGTTTTTAGATTTAAACAAATATAATCTAATCTTATAATTAATATACATTTGGTCATCATGTTCTCAAGATGAGGACCTTAAGAGAGCACGATTGCTTACATATCTGCCACCCTCAATTTTATTAACTTCATGTTTTTTTTCATTTTTGTTTCTTAAATTCGTTTTTGAATTGGATTGATTTTTACAAGTGTGACCTATAAATGGAGGATTTGAAATGATTACCACAATTAGTCAATTTTTTTACACCAATATGAACTATTTAATATAAGTTTCAATATCATCTTGAAGTGATAATTTTTCTTTTAAACGTATATAACTCATTTAATAGTACTTTTTTTTATGAGTGAACAACAAATCATTTATTTTAGGTTAAGTTATCGGCATGGAGATTATGAGCTTGTTTGGAAATGTTTTTAAAATAACTGAAAATGCATTTGCAAAAATATTTTTGGGTTCTAAAAGTACTAAAAGTCAGTGGCAGAGCCACTTGGGAACTAGGAAAGGATTGGACTTATCCTGAAGTTTCTTCACTTTGTAGCTTCTGTTTGTGTTTTTTGGTGGATACTCTGTATTCTTCGACTTATGTGTTTTTGCTCTCATCTAGCTTTATTATGTTTCTTCTAATTGGCCCAAAAAATATGTTTTACAGTTGTATTGTTATGAAATATAAGTCTTATATTAACTAGCTTTCCTTACTTAGTTCACCATTTTGCATGACACAATGTTGTTTACAATGAAACCACGCATATATG